GTTAAAACTGTAAGTCCGATGCTTTGATACTATACATATTGTTCATTTTCTAATGATGTCTTCAGTTCTTTAATTGAAATGTGCATTGCTAACAGCGGAGCTATCTCAGCCAATAGGCTGCTTGTTTGACTTCTTCTTGAAAACTACAAGCCTGAATGCTATGATACTTGGTGTATATGTACCTTGGGTAGACCTCTCTTAGGTTTGTTCATTTCATGTTGATATCTTCAATTCTCTAATTTTGGTGAATATTTTTGTCATTTTTGGTAAAAAGTGATATTTTTGACTTCTTGTTAAAAACCCCAAGTGCAATTGCTTTGATATTATATAGGTACTACATATTATATAGGTACTACATGTGGACCTCTCTCAGATTTGTTCATTTTGTAATAATATCTTTAATTCTCTAATTTTGGTGAATATTTTTGGTAAAAAGTGATATTTTCAACTTCTTGTTAAAAACCGCAAGTCTTATTGCTTTGATATTACAAATATGGGTACTACATGTGGACCTCTCTCAGATTTGTTCATTTCGTGATGATATCTTCCATTCTCTAATTTTGGTGAATATTTTTGTCATTTTTGGTAAAAAGTGATATTTTCGACTTCTTGTTAAAAACCGCAAGTCCAATTGCTTTGATATTTATTACTTTTATAGATACTACATGTGGACCTCTCTCAGATTTGTTCATTTCATGATGATATCTTCAATTCTCTAATTTTGGTGAATATTTTTGGTAAAAATTGATATTTTCGACTTCTTGTTAAAAACTGCAAGTTCAATTGCTTTGATATTACATATATAGGTACTACGTGTGGACCTCTCTCAGATTTGTTCATTTTGTAATGATATCTTTAATTTTCTAATTTTGTTTTGATACTATACATATTGTTCATTTTCTAATGATATCTTCTGTTCTTTAATTGAAATGTGCATTGCTAACAGCGATGCTATCTCAGCCGAGAGGCTGCTTGTTGAAACATGTCGTGGCCCTGAAAAGGACAGTTAGGTTTGTGTTTCCTTTCGTTTTAATATTCTGCCTTACATCAGACATGCTATCAATTCCCATTCTGGTTTGGAGTCCTTCCTGAGAGTACCTCCCATCTTTTAAACCAGCAAATCTGTGAAGTGTTATTGCATTAATCTTTGACACTATTCTAGGACTTGCTGTAACTTGTAATTTCTTGGATAATGGTTACAGGGCCGGGCGATCTCTCGACCCCTATTGTATATTTCTTTTATTATTGAGCCCTGGGCTTTTACCCGAATAAATACGTTAGATTCAAAACCTGTGGCGGTTTATTTGCTCACGTTCAAAAACTGAAATTGCGTTTGTGTAGTGGTAATACAAGTGAAGATAGACTATAGTGTGTACATAACTAAATACGCTCCTTATTTGGTAGAATGATTTCAAGTGACTACGAAATCAAGTACAATCATGATACACACTAAAATGTACACTGAGGCGTCTTTTATAAAGGCTTTATTGAATTCGCACCTGCTATGATTAAATATACTTTTCAACTTAATCTGATTTAATGTAGTGAGTCCTATTGCATTCAAACTGATAAGAGTTTCCTTGTTACCATCTCTCAAATGGCTTATATAACTGAATTAGTGTTGCTTTACAATAGAGATACATGTATTTAAGAGTGAAATGAGATGTGTGATCAACTTCAACTATAACAACTATAACTTGACGAATAATGCTCTGAATCAATTCAATCAAGGACGAACAGATACAGTGAATCATTGTCTGTAGATAATAATTAATTACCAATGATAAACTACAAATAAACAACAACAGATATGAATAAATTAGAAAACACAGGTGGATAAACATCCATGTTACAATCTGCTGTCGTATATGGAGCACGTCTTTGGTTTTGACAATTCTTATTATACCTACCCACCAACCATAACATTGATACATTCAGTACATAGTACTTAATTGATGAAATAAATGTACAATCTCCATAGCAAGGCTCTAATATATGTACCATCCTTTTTTT